TGCACAGTTCAGAATTCGCAGAAATGACAGTCCACTGCAAGATTGGGCCGTGAGCAGTTCGAAACAGCAAGAAAAACAGGAAACTATGCTTTCCACGGCCTAATGGTTCATAATTGGCAAAAACGGGAGGTGGCCTGGCCTAGCAGGCCCTCCCGTTTTTTTTGTTTTTCTTTTTTTCGTTTTGGGCTTCTGGCGGGAATGGGTTCGAGCTGGAAAACGATCCTACTTTGTCAGTACAGGAAAAGCCGCGGACCGCGCCCCGCCCCATTCTCTCTCTCTCTCTCTCTCTCTCTCTCTCTCTCTCTCTCTCTCTCTCTCTCTCTCGCTCTCTCTCTCTCGACACGGTCAGCGGCTTTTCCTGTACTGACAAAGGGGGATCGTTTTCCAGCCCGAACCCATTCCCGCCAGAAGCCAAAAACGAAAAAAAGAAAACAAAAAAAAACGGGAGGCCTGCTAGGCCAGGCCACCTCCCGTTTTTGCGAATCATGAACCAGTAGGCCGTGGAAATCATAGTTTACTGTTTTTCTTGCTGTTTCAAACTGCTCACGGCCCAATCTTGCAGTGGACTGTTATTTCTGCGAATTCTGAACTGTGCAGCGGTCACAGGCGCAGTTTTTTCACAAAGATATTAGACTGCCTCAGATTGCTTGAGCTGTATAATTCTGCTATACACTCAGCCACCGGTGAACACGGAAAGGATTGCACATGAACAAGGAAACAAGAAGTAGCATGGAAAAGATGGGAGTGGGCCCAAATTTCAGAGATGGGTCAGAGTTATATATGGCGACGCCACGGGCAGAGTCCAAAAAAACGGATAGTGTCAGACGCCTATCCGGTATCAAGGTCTGTCCGTCAAGGTGACCCACTAGCTCCCCCCATCTTCCTGTTCATCATGGAGGCCATCACCTCCTTCCTTCGCAAAGACCCTTCTATAGACCACCTCACCATGCAGAACTATGACCCCCTTCACGACTTCGCTCTGCCGACAACGCTGATGTTCGCCGATGATCTAACAGTCCTCATTCATGCCAACAAGTCCTCGTTCCAAGCCCTCGTCAGAGCCATGGAAGCCTTTAGACTAACATCAGAAATGAAGGTAAACTGGTCAAAAACCTAAGGTTGGTGGTTCGCAGACAGCACCCCTCCCCAACCTCCCGATCTATCCACCCCCATGTCATGGTCCACATGCGACTGAGCACTTAGATACCTGGGAATCATGGTCAACAAGGACGACACATGGCCAGGGATGGGCCAAACCTTAGTTGCAACGGCAATAGCCCGCCGAGCCCCGTGTAAGAGCGTAGCGGACCTCCGGTTGGCCTGTGAGACCAGCCCCTTGGCCTGTTCTCACAGGCCTGTGTTCTATTCGGGGCAGTCCAGTCCAGGCCGGTACCTCTGTCGGTACCAGCCAGTCCAGTCCAGTCCCGTCAGTCCGCTGGAGTATACCCCAGCAGTTGTCTGTTTTCTGTCTCATTCTACATTCACACAGTTTTGGAGTACGTGTGCTGGAGTCATGCGTGGGAGCTGCGCTGTGCCATCTCGCTCCTCCCTCATCCTCCATCTCCATCATCATCCCAGGCGGAGCACCACACCTGGCGAGTCCGCCACATTGGTATCGGAGCGGGAACGGTCCCCGCTCCCACCCGCCACACAAGCAGCAAATCCCGACAACGGGATTTTTCGCTGTTTGTTGGCTGTTTTCGCCAAAAAACAAGGGGAAAAAAGGCCAAGGCCGCCGCCGCATCACGCATCACGCACGCGCCACGTGCCCCGCTGCCCCGCCCTGGGATCTTGCTGCCGCCGGGGTTTGAACCCAGGCACCTGCTGGGCTATGCGCGTGTGTAGCCACTCTTATAACACCCCCCCCACAGTGTATGCATGGCCTTGTAGTGCGGCACACTCGTGTTGAAGAGGTGCCGTGTCCAAAAAAAATTCGAATTATCTTATTCCCCACCCTCTTTTCTGATTTTCTGATTTTTTTTTTTTTTTTTTTTTTT